TCTACCCCCGAGCTTCAGGCTGCTGCGGACGCCACCTTCCTCCACCACCGCCGTGAATACCTCATCCGCAAGGCCGACCATGACGTTGCTCTCCTCAACTATGAGTTTGCCTCGTCCGAGCGTTCCACTCGCCTGGAACTGGTTGCCGAGTACAACACCTCCATGGCGGCTTACGTCCCCAACAGCGTCGCCTGGGCCGCTGCCGACAACCGCGCTTACACCATCCTCCTCGGTGCACTCCCCGACACCCTTATGCGCCGCTTCCAAGCTCGCGAGATGCGCGCTCACCTAATTTGGACCGAGCTCCAGTCTATGTTCGAGCGTCGCGACATCAGCTCTGTTGGCGTTCTCTTCCAGGAGTATTTCTCCATCACCCTCGCCACCTGTGACGGCGCAGTCGACTATGTCGGGCGCATGCAGGAGGTTGCCGATCGCCTTGCCGCTCGCCAGGCTGCCCTTTCCGAGCCCCTACAGATCCACCGTCTGCTCTTCAACCTCACGCCAGACTATGAGTCCCGCCTTCACGCCTTCACCGAGGCGAACCCCTTGGCTGGCCTCCCCGAAGTGACGCAGTGGATCATTGACACAGAGGTCAAGCTCCGCACCCCCATTGTCAACCTCACCACCACTCACTCCTCCTCCGCCTCCCTCAATGCCACACAGCCGCGCACTCAGGGTGGTCGCACCGGCGGTAGCGGGGGTCGTGGAGGGAGTGGAGGTGGCAGTCGGGGTAGTGGCCGTGGTGGCCGTGGTGGTAGTGGTGGTGGTGGTGGTCCTAGTGGCCCCGCTCCCGGAGGCTCCTCTAGTGCTGGTGGAGCTGTGAGCCGTGGTGGTGGTCGCCCTGGGACTCTTCCCCCCTGCACGTATGTTCGCCGCCACGGTCCCCACGCCGGCATGCCGTGTGGTCAGACCAACCACCCCCCTGCCACCTGCTTCAAGGCGCTTGATGACGCCTGGTTCGACCGCGGCAACACGGGTACCCCTCCTCGTTGGAACAGTGTTACCCCTCGCCCGTCCCTTGTGGACATCCAAACCCTCCCCTCCTTCCTCCCCGCTCACCTCCGTCTACTCACCCCTTCTCTTCCCTCCCAGCTCCAGCAGTTTCAGCAGCACCAGCAGCAGCAGCAGCAGCAGCAGTACTTCCCGTAGCAGCAGCAGCCGCAGTTTCTTCAGCAGCAGCAGCAGCCGCTCTTTCAGCCGCAGCAGCCCCCACAGCAGCAGTTCTTCCAGCAGCAGCAGCCGCCGCAGTACCTTCCTCCGCAGTGGCAGTAGCAGCCGATGACCTTCGGCTCAGCGGCCATGGCCGCTCATGCCTCCCTTGCCCCCCCTGCCTGGGGCTCCATTCCCTCTGGCCCCCTGAGTGTCTCTGACTCTCAGAGCAGTTTCCTTGGTCATGTTGCTGCTGCACCATCCGTCGCTTCCATGTATCCCTCTGCTATCAATGAAACGTCTTTCCAGTACTCCGTGTCACCTCCCCCCCCTTCCTCCCCCACCTTGGACTTTGTCCTTGACAGTGGGACCACAGAAACCGCACTCAAAGGCGCTGTCACCCTCACCCCCCTCCCACTTCCTACCCAGGTTCATGGTGCTGACTCCAGCTTCTCCATCCCATGCACTCACCTCTCCACCCTCCCCTGCACCACTTTCCCCTCTGGTAAGGTCACAGGTCTCCACATCTCTACCCTTCGCAACAACCTCCTCTCTCACCGAGAACTCCAAGGTGTCGGTATTACCGCCATTTACCCCGGCTTTGCCAATTACTGTGATCTTTACCAAACCTCCTCTGGTCGCTTTCTCCTGCGCATTCCCCTTTGCCCCCGCACTCGCCTTTACACGCTCCGCACACCCCGTCCCTCCTTTTGTCATGTTACCACTCGTGCTGGTACTTCCACGGGTCCTCCTCCCCCTCTCCCTCCCCCTCATGTATCCCCCTCCCCTGCTTCATTTCCCTCCTCCCTCCCCACTTCTTCCTCCACCCCCTCCCCCTCCTCCTCCACTACCCTCTCCCACCCAGCAGTCATTCTGCATCACAGACTCGGCCATCCCAACTTCGCCGCACTTCGCACCACTGTCACCTCTCGCCTCCTTCACAGCCTCCCTCCCACCTTACCTCCCCTCCCCTCCTCTCCTGCCCCCCCATGCCCATCATGCATTCATGGCAAGCTTAAGCAATCCCCCCATCACAGCCATCCCACCTTTGCTGCCGCCCCCATTGACATTGTCCACATGGATCTCTGGGGTCCCTATCCCATCCGCTCCCGTCAGGGGCACCGGTACATGCTCGTCCTCGTTGACGACCACAGTCGGTACTCCACTGTCTTTTTCCTCCACACCAAAGATCAGGTGCCGGCTGTTGTCATCAACTGGGCTGAGCAGTGCTGCAATCACTTCAAAGGCCCCATTGGCCGCCTTCACTCTGACGGTGGGGGTGAGTTCATCAACAACACCCTTGCTACCTTCTGCAAACTTCATGGCATCCAGCAAACTTCCACCCTCCCCCACTCCCCTCAGCAAAATGGCATTGCTGAGAGTCGCATCCGTGAAATCACCAAAATTGCCCGTTGCCTCATTGCTCACGCCTCCACCCCTCCCTCCCTTTGGAGCTATGCCCTTCTCCATGCCGCCCTCCTCCTCAATCTCCGCTCCCACCCCCAGCATCCCTCTTCTTCCCCCACAGAACTCTGGTCTAAGGCCAAGCCTGACGCTGCCGGCCTTCGCGTTTGGGGCTGCAAGTCCTTCGTCCTCATCCCACCAGCCGATCGCTCCCGTGCCGCCGGCAAGCTCGCCCCCCGTGCCCTTGAGTGCGTCTACCTTGGGCACAATCGCGACTCCCCAGGCTACCTGTTCCTCCACCCTCCCACCAACCGCCTCATCCGCAGCATTGACGTCGTCTTCGACGAGTCCATCCCCTACTACTCCACCCCTCCTCCTGACCCTCTCCCTCCTCCCTCTCGCCCCCTCGCCTGGACTGACACTGTCCTCCCACCTCTCCTCCCTCCCTCTCCTCTCCTCCCCCCCGTTGCCGCTCCACTCCCTCCGTCCTCCTCTGCTGACGTCTATGATCCCGCCGCACCCGCCTCCCCGGCCCACTCTGCTGCGCCCCCTCCCCCCTCTCCCTCCTCCTCTCACTCCCCCCCTTCTCTGCAACGGCCGGGCCAGCAGCAGCAGCAGCAGCAGCGGCAGCCGGGACAGCAGCAGGGCCAGCAGCAGCAGCAGCAGCAGCAGCGGCAGCCGGGACAGCAGCAGGGACAGCAGCAGCAGCAGCAGCCGCCGGGGCAGCAGCAGCAGCAGCCGGGTCAGCAGCAGCAGCAGCAGCAGCCGACTCCGCCGCAGGAGCAGCAGCAGCAACAGCAACAGCAGCAGCAGCGCCACCGAGCAACTTCCCGCTCCTCCCTTTTCCTCCTCCCTCGCATGCACACTCGCTCCCTTGACAAGGTCTTTGGAGCCCCTCCTCCCGCCTCCATTCAGCTCCTTGAGGACTCCCATGAGGAGTTCCTCCACATTCGGCACCACACTCCTTTCCTTGCCTCAATCTTTCATGACTTCCTTGGCCTTCCCGTCCTTGGCGCCACCTCCACCCCCACCATCTTCACTCCCTCCACCTTTAAAGAAGTCATCGCCTGCCCTGATGCGGACAGGTGGATTGCGGCTATCTTCCTGGAGTGTGAGGCCTTCATTCGCAACGACTCCTTCACTGATGTCCCCCTCCCGACCGATGCCAACCTTGTCGAGGGCAAGTGGGTCTTTCGGGTGAAGAAGGTGCCCGGCGAAGATCCGGTCTACAAGGCTCGCTATTGCGCTAAGGGGTTCACCCAGACTTGGGCTGAGGACTACTGGTTCACCTACGCCCCCACCGCCAAGCCACCTACCCTCCGCACCCTCCTCGACGTTGGTGCGCGCGACGACATGGAGATCTGTTCCATGGACGTCTCCAATGCGTTCCTGCAAGGGGACCTGCACGAGCGCATCTTCCTCCGGCGACCCCCCGGGTTCCACGCCGCCTTTCCAAAAAACACTGTGTGGCAGCTGCGTCGACCTGTCTACGGTCTAAAGCAGGCACCTCGGGAGTGGCACGCGAAGCTGTCTGCCACCCTGGGATCCCTTGGCTTCTCTGCCTCGCATTCTGACACCAGTCTCTTCCTTCGCTCCTCCCCTCGCCGCTTCTTCATTCTGGTGTATGTGGATGACATGATCCTGCTCGCTGACTCCAAGACTGACATGGAGCAGATGAAGCAGCAACTGCAGCAGCGCCTCAAGTGCAAGGACCTGGGCGACCTCACCCACTACCTTGGCATGGCTATCACTCGCGACCGTCCCGCTCGCACCATCACCCTCTCCCAGTCTCATTACATCGGTTAGATCTTGGAGAAATTCGAGATGACTCAGGCCAGTCCCATAGCCACCCCCCTCCCTTTCGGCCACCAGCTTGCTCCACCCACCTCGCCCTCCTCCTCCTCTCACCCTTATGCTGAGCTCGTTGGGTCGCTGATGTACGCTATGATGTGCACCCGTCCCGACCTCGCCTACCCCATCAGCGTGCTCGCTCGTTTTGTTGGCCCTGGTCGCCACACCGAGGTGCACTGGAAAGCTGCTAAGCATGTCCTCCGCTACCTTCGCGGCACCAAGGACCACGCTCTCACTCTTGGTGGCTCCTCCCCTCCCTTCCTTTCGGGCTTTAGCGACTCCTCCTGGGCCGACTCGCAGCCTGACCGCCGCTCCTCTCAAGGCTACGGCTTCACCCTCGGTAGCGGCCTTGTTAGCTGGCGCTCCACACGCTCCTCCTCCGTTTCCCTCTCCTCCTGCGAGGCTGAGCTCTACGCTGGCACCATGGCCGCCCAGGAGTCCCGCTGGCTCTGCTTTCTTCTTGCTGAGCTTGGCGCCCCTCAGCCCTGCCCCACCCTCTGGTGTGACAACGCCAGCACCATCCACCTCACTCAGGACCCTGTCTACCACGCCCGCTCCAAGCACATCGAACTACGCTACTTCTTCATCCGCGAGCT